GAGGAAGCCTTCCCCCAGAGCCACCAGGGAGGAAAGCCTTTCCCTAGGGTTGACACCTCGAATTTGGCTTCCTAAGTGGTGAGAGAGTAAATTTCTGTTTGTTAAAGCCATCCACTTGTATTTCTGTTACAGTGACACTGGATAACGAAGACACTTGGTAAACCCTAGCGTGCGTAGTTCATTTCTCTCTTAAGGTCTTTACCACATTTTCCATTTTGTCTTTTTAGAGTTCTCATTTATCTCTGTATTCTTCACAGTATCTACTACAATGCTTTTCGCATAGTGCAAGCTCAGTAGCCTTTTCGAGTGAATAATTCTGTCTAAGGGATAAATATATTGGGACTACCAGTTACTGCCTGAAACTTAGCCAATTCAGAGAAATTCTTTAAAGCTTTTGTCTTATATTCTCAGTCAGTAGCAGAGATTTCCAGTGTTTGGATCTCCTCTGAACATCTATGTAAAACTTGGGAATCCTTAACATCTAATCATTCATCACCTAATTGTTGAGCACTTACTATGTTCTAGGTCAGAGGTCAGTCAACTTTTTCTATAAAGGACCAGAAAATAAATAGTATAGCTCAACAGGCCATCTGGTTTCCTTCTCTACTCAAAAAAGCAACCGTTGATAGCATATGAACAACTGTGTGCAACTCTTCCAATAAAATTTTATTAATGAACACTGAAATTTGAATTTCATGTATTGAAAAATATTCTTTGTAAAAATCTTTTTCAACCAATTAGAACTGTGAAACCCTTCTTATCCCATGGGCAATATGAAAACAATCTGGATTTTCCCTGAGGGCCATAGATGCCCACGCCTCTTGTGTATTCTTGGCATAGAGACACTTAGTGGACTTAACGAAGATCCCTGCCCTGTGCGGCTTACCTTCTAGCACTGGGGAGGCACAAAGAGTAAACCATTTAGTGTTCTAGAATACAGTAGGTGTTCATTTTTTGAAGAAAAAGAAGAAGTAGAGTAGAGAGTGGGAAGCAGGAGCATTGGGTTTGGAAACAAGTGGCAGTCGTTGACCAGCGCAGCCCTCACTGTGTTCAGTTCCCTGAAGGAGAAGCCGGTGGTGCCCAGCCCAGAAGTCCTCAAGTGTATCCAAGCCAGTCAAGTCATTCCAGTGACTGACAATCCCTGTGAATTTGGTTCTCACCACCACCCTAGTCATTACTTCCTGATTCATTGTGTTCCTTCGTGTAGGATTCAGGTTGATGGGGTCTCTTGTTCTCATGGAATAAACACAGTGGGCACACTTTATTTTCATCAATAAGTGTGGAATTCTTGTTTCAAAGATAAAGTATGTCTTATTTTTGCACAAACAAATGTAGAAAAGTATATGAACATTTTTGGAGAGCAGTTCTTATTTTGAGGAAAAGAATATTTATTGTTATAGTCCTTGTTAATAGTCACCAACTAGTTGTTCAACATCTGTCATTAGCTTCAAACCCTAAACTGGCGTCCCCCGTCACCTGAACTAGATCTCCGCCCTTGACCCTGACGTACAGGGTTCTAAATGATCTAGCCTCTCCCCACTGCCGGGATCTCCACTCCTTTCACCCTTCCTTCACCCACTGCACTCACAAGTTCACAATTATTGTCTCAAATCCTCAGATATGACAAGCTTTTTCTCACCTTAAGGCTATGCACTATTGCCTTACGCCTGGGACGCTGTCTCCTCAGTCATTACACACCAGATTTTTTCTTATTACAACCCCCCACTGAGGGGCTCCCCAGTGACTCATTCTCGGTCACTTCCAGTGACCCTCATTCCCATCACTCTCTTAATTGTCTGCATACTGTTTAGCACTGTCGGATCATTTTTTTGCGTGTGTGTGTAGGGGGGTCATTTTTGCTTGTTTGTCCCTACTTTCCCCCTCTGCAGCTAGGACCAAGGGTTTTTGTCTTGCTCACTTTTGAATTGCGTGGCCCTGGAACAATACATCTTTCTTCTTATACAAAACCATTCCTATCCAGCGTGTTCCTCGACCCTGCAAATCAAACTTCTCGGAACAGTTTCCCCTTGCCAACGACTCCCAATTTCTGAGTGCAGTGGGATTTCTGTAGTCTTCATCTTATTTAACCCATTTATGAGTTCTGACTTCTTCTAACTTGGGACTTTATCTCTTCTACCTTCCTGTCTTCCCCGTGCTCCACTTCCTGAACAAACGTGTGCAATGAGTGATGCATGCCTGTGTGCAGCCTTTTTAAAACTGTCATTCAGATAATCTTAATTTATGAACCATCTTTTTCACTGGAGAGATGAGACATATGTTAGTTGTGTCTTTGATTAAATCCCAGTTGATAATAGCTGAAGTTGGAAATTCCATTTCTTTTCACATTTGTACTTATTTTCAGTAGAAAAGATTTTTCAGTTTATTGTTTTCCTCTAGTTCTCTGTGTTAGGAATTAGGAGCTGAGACTTTTAGGAAGAAGTGGAAGTAAAATTGTTTGAAGATTTTTATAATCTATAGATTGTTTTCTTATATCAACAAACTAAAACCCACACAAATCACCTATCTGCCACATTAAACAACAACCCAAAATTAGTAGGCAAACTAGCACTGTTATAGGACCCCAGTGAAGAGCATAAGAAGTATGGTATTTTCACACAAGTAACACTCATATTATACGTTTTTGCCGATCATGCCCTCCCCACAAGGTGTTTTTGTAAGCATGCTATGCTAAATTGTTTTTGTTTGTTTTGTTTGTTTTTTAACAGCAACATGTTTTAAAAAAAAAAAACAGTATAGCATGCTTATGAAAATGCCTTCAGGGGAGTGCGCAATTGGCAGAAACGTGTACCATGTACATTATTTACATAAAAATACTGTAAACTTACCCATTTTTATTCCCATCCTTATTTCTTTCCTAATAATTTCTAAGGAAGAAAAGAATTAGACTTCTCTACTTAAAGTCCTGGAGCTCTGGAGGCACTGTGGTTATTGAGCTGCTAACCAGGTCAGCAGTTTGACCCCACTGGCCAGTCTGTGGGAGAAAGATGAGGCAGTCTGCTTCTGGAAAGATTGTCTCGGGAACCCTACGAGGCAGTCTGCTCTGTCCTCTAGGGTTGCCAGGAGTCAGAATCGACTCGACGGCAGTGAGTTTGGGTTGTTTTGTTTGCTGTTTATTGAAGGTCACCGCCTCCTGGGGGGTCTTGCTCTATTCATCGTCTTTGTTTCCCCCCTTTTTCAAATTGTACATCTCTACTGGCACTTTCCTCCACAGTCCCTCTCCTTCCAGAAACGAACCCCACCAGTCCCTGCTGGTATTGCCAGTATTATTCCGCCCCTTCTCATCCATGCTTCGAAAAATAACGTCTGTTTATTTTTTTAGCATTTTTTATTGTAAAATGTAATATACACACTGAGAAGTGCATGAAGTATGTGTGTACAGTTTAACCAATTATTTACATAACACCCACCGAAGCATCCACTGCCATGTTCAAGAAAAGGACGTTTGTCGCCACCTCCAAACTCCGTGTCTTACTTGCCATACCCCCACTGGAAGTAGCCATCATACAGCTTACGTCCTAGCAGCTTTTGTTGACAGTCATTTCCCTGTTCTCTGTAGCTGTGCCACCACCGTGCACATCACTCTTCAGCTCCTGCCCTCCCAGGATTTCACAGTTCTCTCCAGAAGCTCATCTGAGCAGTCGTCTCATCTGATGGACGTTTCTCAGTCCTGCAGTCACTAGGTTTCTGCTTATTCAACGTAGTACCCTTGCAGCTACTCTGTTGAAGTCTGGACCTGTATTCTCCTGCATCCTTATTCCTTCCTTCTCCCTTTCACAGACTCCTTAAGTGCTTGCCCCTTAAGTGTGGCTGTGCTCAGGGCCCCATCCTACTGCCACTCTTGCACTGGCTACTGTTCGACAATTACTTTCAGACCTGTTCTTCAGCTCAGACACACTCACTAAGGTTTCAGCTTACATGGACACTACTGCTGGATATCTCCACCTCGATACTCAACACCCAAGACAGACTTCTCCGTCTTTCCCTCTAAACTGGCTCCTTCTCCTCCTGCCTTTTCTAAACCACCCATTCAAGTTAGAAACCACCCAAGTTAGAAGTCTGGAGACCACCCCAAGTTTGCCTCGCTCTCATTCCCCACAGCTTTTCAGTGACCGAGAGATGCAGTTGTGTTTCCCAGTGCATTTTTGAAACTTGTTCTCTCGTGGCTCTGTTAGTTTAAGCCCTCATCATCTCCCCTGGAATTTCTAATGCTCATTGGCCTTTCTCACTGTTTCTAACTTCCTCTTGCTGATATTCACCCTCCTTATAACTACAAGCCAAAATGGTTTCTCAAAAAAGCAATTCTAACTGTTCTGCTTCTACATTTAAAACCATGTCAAACCCAAGCTCCTTAACACGACTTTTAAGTCCTTCCATTGTCTTGCCCTGTTTGCTCCAGCCATATTTCTCACTACACCTGGCTCCGTGCTTTCGGCCGTGTCAACCTCTAGGCCTTCTTAGTTTCAGGCCATTGTCCATGCTGTCCCCCTGCCTAGGATGCACCATTTGACTTATGCCTAATTCTTCAAGAGTAAATCTAAGTTGGGCACCTCCAGGGAAACGTTCCTTGACCATCCCCCCACCCCATGCAGCAGTGGGTCCCCATAGCCTCCACTGGCGTCTTGTCCAGTTCCGTCTCTGCTGACCTTGTTCTCTGTGGCTACGTCTTCGTGTTCTGGCCCATTTAGTCCTCTCTTACCTGAAGTGCTTAAGACAGGGTTGGACGCGAGGCCCAGTGGAAAGAGGGAGGGAGGAGGTGAGGAGGATGAGAAAAGCGCACATTGATGGTAACTGTGTTTTAAAGACTGTCACTGTGTCACACACGCCGATACTCAGAGTCATCTGAGCACGGGGTCCCCACAACCTCTAGAGAGCAGTTTTTCTAAGGATTTCCCTACCTAAGAGGAGCTCTTCGGGAGAGGGTGAGGTTTTCATTTTCTTCTGACATTTAATCAACCCCACTTCTCACCATCGTGTCACAGACCACACCAGGACCACCTAAAAAGCCGAAGACCCCTTCCGGACAGTCAGCTTTAGTGTACTGCTACAACTGCGCACAGAAAGGCCACTACGGACACGTAAGTTTGATTGGCATCTGGGCATAAGATGTTCTGTTGTTCAGGGAGCAGTTACTGAAAGATGAGCTTGGAAGGCATAGCACGCTGAATGCATGCTGCTGTGTCAACTGAAATCCTCTCCGAGGGAAGACTGAGTGTGCTTCTCTCGTCCCTGCCAGACTGCCGTCTCCCAGAACATGTTTGCTCTAATCGTCTAAAGGTCCATAAACAAGCTGTTATGTTGTTGTTCGGTGCCACCCAGTCGGCTCTGACTCATAGCGACCCTGTGTACAGAAAAACGGAACATTGCCCGGTCCTGCACCATCCTCACAATCGTTGCAGCCACATAAATAGGTCACGCTGACATGAATGCATTCACAGCAGTGGCCAGCAGAATGCTAGCAGTTCTCGTGAGTGCTTATAGTAACTCTTCCTTGGACACAGGCAGCTCATGAGTTTGGATTCCATCCTTAGTTCTCCAGTACCTCCAGCCATTCCTGGTACTGTGTTGAGTTCCGTCTGCATCACTCACTAGTGAAAACACTAATGGTGCTCCATTATCGGCTTGCCCTGCCCGCCTCCAAAGCCAGAATTGCCTGCTCATCTAGCACACTCTCCAGCACCAACTGAAGAGGTCGGCCTTGGGATGTTCTGGATGCTGAGGTGTCAGAGCAGAACTGCTTTTGCCCCATTAAGTATAAGACACCAGGGTCTCCTCCAGAGGCACAGTGCAACAGCAGGGTCAGAGCCTGTGCAGTCAGGGAGTCTTGACACCGAGGAGGGAAGGCAGTGCCACAAGGGGTGGAAAAAGATCCCACCTTAGCACCCCATAGGCCCCTGCGAGGCAGAGTTCTTGCCTGGGACTCAGGCCACTAACGGGAGAAGCCAGGAAAACCCTGTGGAGAAGTACACCCCTTGGTCACCAGATGCACTTCTGACAGCCTGGAAACCAAGATGCCTAATATCCAGTCAGTCTTGATCTGAGAACAGGAGGTGGAATTATGGAAATGGGTAGGGGTAAGAGCAACACATGGGGTGTTATCACAGGTCACCTCCTGAATTCTGACTGGCACTCTTCGTTGGTGTAGACCTTAGGGCAGGAGCTTTGTAGTGGAGGGAAAAACAAAGAGGCTGGGAGAAGCAGGTTCCCAAAGCAAGTAAGTACTGGACAGAGTCCGTGAACATACGCGTTTCTCTTCCAGATTGGGGCAGCTGAGTGCCAGGGTTTAAGAGGTAGGAGGGTAGGAGAGCTAGAATGAGGTTCTGATCCTCACTTCTGACCTTTGTTCTGCCACTCACTTAACCATGTGATTGGTTTCTCCCTTTCTCCTCTGGTCTTCGGTTTCTTCATCTCAAAAGCAGAGTTGGACAGCACTGACACATGGACGCTGTGCCCTGCTGATCGAATCCATGGTGTGGCTGTGTTATCAGAGAGATCCTAGAGTGTACTTGTTTCACGTCCATAGAGCTCACACTGAAAACTTAGTTAGAAACTACTGCTTGTACAGAATACCATCTCGAGATCATTGACTGCTCCGTGTGTTCCTCCTCTTTGCCAACATTGGGATGATGATGGGGTCACACACCTTTCAGGGAACGTAATCACTTAAGCAGGCCACTAGCCAATTGTGTAGATGTCCAGTTTCCCTTGGCCACCTCTTTAAAGCAAAGGGGTATAATTTCAGCATTTATATTGGTTCAGTTACAGAAAAAACAATGATAGTTGGATTCATACTGCTTACTAGTTACTGGCTGTTAACATAGATAGGAACTATGTTAAAAGTGTTTGGAATTTATCCCCTGAAATCTAGATTTAGATAATTGTATGTTTAAAATAAGGAGCACTGGTAGCATAGTGCCTAAGGCACTTGACTGCTAACCAGAAGGCTGGCTATTCAAATCCACTAGCCACTCCTCGGAAGGAAGATGGGGCAATCTACTTCCATAGTGATAACTGCCTCGGAAACCCAAGGTGGGGTCGTTATGAGTCGGGTCCGACTCGACGGTACATAACAACAACAACAACGTGTTTACAATAAAGCAGGTTTGGCAGCTTCGTCACTGCCATAGATGAAGAGCTCTGCTCTGTCCACACTGATGATCAGTGGCGTGGCTAATCCAGAGGGGTAGGTACATTGTATCACCGACTGTTAGTTGTGTGTATTGATGGAGGGGAGCCGCAGTGTGGAGAGTCAAGATGTAATTTACATTCAGCTCTGGAGGGTGTTTCTGAAACTGGAGTGCTCTGTATAGTCATATCATTCTGGACCGGACAGAACAGGCCATCAGACACACCCGCGAACCCTTGGCCTCCAGTTTTCAGAAATTTCAGCTCTGCAGGCATTAGTATTGAATAGCTTTTTCATGTGAAGCTATTCCAAGAAGATGGTGATGCTGTCCTTCCTTAATTCCAGTCTCTCTAAGTGGGGAGGTGCCACAGGAGGGAAACGGTGATGGGAGGCAGTGGTTACTGTATGAAGGGACAACTACAGGAGAGTTGAGAGGATAAGCAGGAACTGGAGTATTGAAGATTCTGCTGGAGTGGCTACTAGATGAGTGTGTGAAGATCTCTAGGACCTTCTGTAATCATAATGTGCTGTTACTGTTGCATGGTTAGAATTTTAGAACCAAGTCTTTGATGAGGAGGCTCTTTTCCTGGGAGGTTGGAGCCGCCGTGACAACAGCACAGAAAAGCAGTTCTTTCTGCTGCCGTATCGGTCTCCCTTAGAACTGTCAGGGCCCAAGACAGCACGGAGAGATCCAGAATGCCACAACAGAGTAACGTAAAGAAAGAAGGAATGCAGGCAAGAACCCAAATCACAGAAATAGAAAACGAAACACCAGGAGCAGCAAAGCCAAAGGCTGGTTCTTTGAAAACACTTTCTTTTCCAGTCTTCTGGAAAAACTACTAAAAGAAAAAAGCAAAAACTAAACAATGAATGAAAAGTGTAAATAACTTATGATACAGTGTAATTTCTAATTACAAGAGAAGACTTTATAAACTTCAAGAAACTTGATAAAGTTTGAGGTTAAGTCTAATAATGTAGGTAAATAATTCTCTAGAAAAATAGAAACTAACCAAACTGACTCAAGAAGAATAAATCTGCATGAATTAATAACTATTAAATTGAATCTGTAATCAACACACCACCCTCCACCCCACCACCACCACCATCAGAATATGCCACACTGAGTTAGCTTTATAAGGAGATTTTTGCAACCCTTTATTCAGAAACATAATTCAAGGAAACACTAGCCAACTTATTTTTTGAAACAATTTAAAAATATTTACAGAACGATACCATACTCATACAATCTGAAAACTTCAAACTAACGCTGTTGTTTATTTGAACATATACAAATAGTAAGAATGTAAAAACATATGAGAGTGGTAGCCACCAGCTTTGGGACAGTGATGCCTTCTGGAAGGGGACACACACACAGAGGATTTCAGTTATGTTAGTAATGCTGTAGTTCTGGAGGGAAAAACAAACGTGAATTAAGGTAAACTGTTATGATTTGATAACACCAAGTAGTGACTACAGATTCTCATTAGTCCTACATTTAGGTGCATATTTGCAATCGCTCATGATTTTTTAAAACTCTGCAAATCGAATAATGCACTGTTCATAAATATAGGGTTGCCAGCTTGGTCAGATACCTTAGAATTATAAGTCCAGTATATAACTCCAGGGTTATATGAACACCAGTGAGTGAAAACTAGACAAGTCATGCTATGACATCAAGAACATCATACATGAAGAAAGCAGAAGGTCATTAAAAACACAGAAAAGGAAGAAAAGACCAAAATGGTTGTCAGAAGAGACTGTGTACCCTGCTCTTGAATGGTGGAGAGTGGCTAAAGGGAATGAAAGAAATGATTAAATAAGAGAGCTGAACAGAAGATTTCAAAGGGTGACTTGGGAAGACAAAGTAAAGTGTAATGAAATGTGCAAAGACCTGGAGCTAGAAAACCAAAAGAAAAGAACACATTAGGCATTTCTCATGCCGAAAGAACTGAACTAACAATGCAAGCCTCAAAATACATAAAGAGAGATTCTATGGGCAGAATAGTGAACAATGCAGAAATCACCAAAAGAAGATGGAAGGAATACACAAGAGTCACCATACCAAAATGAAGATGTCGATGTTCAGCCGTTTTAAGAGGCAGCAATAATCAAGAACCACTGGGACCAAAGGAAGAAGTCCAAGCTGCACTGAAGGGATCGGTGAAAAA